TTACTTTAATTATTTTAATGCGTAATTATTAAAATTTTTCATAATGCTAAGTCTATGTAAACTTAGGATTTGATGCAATATTTTTACAACTTTTATCTATTTTAAAATAAAATTTTAATTGACTGTATTTGAAGAATTACTTTAATTATTTTAATGCGTAATTATTAAAATTTTTCATAATGCTAAGTCTATGTAAACTTAGGATTTGATGCAATATTTTTACAACTTTTATCTATTTTAAAATAAAATTTTAATTGACTGTATTTGAAGAATTACTTTAATTATTTTAATGCGTAATTATTAAAATTTTTCATAATGCTAAGTCTATGTAAACTTAGGATTTGATGCAATATTTTTACAACTTTTATCTATTTTAAAATAAAATTTTAATTGACTGTATTTGAAGAATTACTTTAATTATTTTAATGCGTAATTATTAAAATTTTTCATAATGCTAAGTCTATGTAAACTTAGGATTTGATGCAATATTTTTACAACTTTTATCTATTTTAAAATAAAATTTTAATTGACTGTATTTGAAGAATTACTTTAATTATTTTAATGCGTAATTATTAAAATTTTTCATAATGCTAAGTCTATGTAAACTTAGGATTTGATGCAATATTTTTACAACTTTTATCTATTTTAAAATAAAATTTTAATTGACTGTATTTGAAGAATTACTTTAATTATTTTAATGCGTAATTATTAAAATTTTTCATAATGCTAAGTCTATGTAAACTTAGGATTTGATGCAATATTTTTACAACTTTTATCTATTTTAAAATAAAATTTTAATTGACTGTATTTGAAGAATTACTTGAAGAATTAATTTTTTAATGCGTAATTATTAAAATTTTTCATAATTTTTCTAAGTCTATGTAAACTTAGGATTTGATGCAATATTTTTACAACTTTTATCTATTTTAAAATAAAATTTTAATTGACTGTATTTGAAGAATTACTTTAATTATTTTAATGCGTAATTATTAAAATTTTTCATAATGCTAAGTCTATGTAAACTTAGGATTTGATGCAATATTTTTACAACTTTTATCTATTTTAAAATAAAATTTTAATTGACTGTATTTGAAGAATTACTTTAATTATTTTAATGCGTAATTATTAAAATTTTTTTAAAATAAAATTTTAATTGACATAAATTATTTTAATGCTAAGTCTATGTAAACTTAGGATTTGATGCAATATTTTTACAACTTTTATCTATTTTAAAATAAAATTTTAATTGACTGTATTTGAAGAATTACTTTAATTATTTTAATGCGTAATTATTAATGCGTATTATTTTAATGCGTAATTATTAAAATTTTTCATAATGCTTCTAATGTAAACTTAGGATTTGTAAACTTAGGATTTGATGCAATATTTTTACAACTTTTATCTATTTTAAAATAAAATTTTAATTGACTGTATTTGAAGAATTACTTTAATTATTTTAATGCGTAATTATTAAAATTTTTCATAATGCTAAGTCTATGTAAACTTAGGATTTGATGCAATATTTTTACAACTTTTATCTATTTTAAAATAAAATTTTAATTGACTGTATTTGAAGAATTACTTTAATTATTTTAATGCGTAATTATTAAAATTTTTCATAATGCTAAGTCTATGTAAACTTAGGATTTGATGCAATATTTTTACAACTTTTATCTATTTTAAAATAAAATTTTAATTGACTGTATTTGAAGAATTACTTTAATTATTTTAATGCGTAATTATTAAAATTTTTCATAATGCTAAGTCTATGTAAACTTAGGATTTGATGCAATATTTTTACAACTTTTATCTATTTTAAAATAAAATTTTAATTGACTGTATTTGAAGAATTACTTTAATTATTTTAATGCGTAATTATTTTAAATTTTTCATAATGCTAAGTCTATGTAAACTTAGGATTTGATGCAATATTTTTACAACTTTTATCTATTTTAAAATAAAATTTTAATTGACTGTATTTGAAGAATTACTTTAATTATTTTAATGCGTAATTATTAAAATTTTTCATAATGCTAAGTCTATGTAAACTTAGGATTTGATGCAATATTTTTACAACTTTTATCTATTTTAAAATAAAATTTTAATTGACTGTATTTGAAGAATTACTTTAATTATTTTAATGCGTAATTATTAAAATTTTTCATAATGCTAAGTCTATGTAAACTTAGGATTTGATGCAATATTTTTACAACTTTTATCTATTTTAAAATAAAATTTTAATTGACTGTATTTGAAGAATTACTTTAATTATTTTAATGCGTAATTATTAAAATTTTTCATAATGCTAAGTCTATGTAAACTTAGGATTTGATGCAATATTTTTACAACTTTTATCTATTTTAAAATAAAATTTTAATTGACTGTATTTGAAGAATTACTTTAATTATTTTAATGCGTAATTATTAAAATTTTTCATAATGCTAAGTCTATGTAAACTTAGGATTTGATGCAATATTTTTACAACTTTTATCTATTTTAA